ATTTAATTGTATAATGTTATGGAGCCGCAAACTTTTCTGATGATTTTTTTTTTTTTTCCAAATTATCCTTTTTCCTATTTTTATTTTTTTGGCAATTAATGCCCGAGTTAGATTAAAAGTTTTTATTCTTTAATGCTTATTCACGCATGTTTTTTAGGAGTGCATCTTTGACTTCTTCTATTCTGCTTATGTATTACACATGCTTTCTTTTGGCCATTCATTTCTCTGTCTTTTCATTTTTAATCGTTGAGATTTCGTAATTCTTTAAATAATGAGTCTATTGGGATTCAATGGCTGAGATTGGCTTTTCTTGACATTATATATATGCACTATGCTATCTCCTGATTTTATCCTCACTAACTTCAGAAGATATGTCCTAACACTCTGTTCTTTGTTGATTCTAGGGAAAAACCTCTTATTGTTATCAGAATCCTAGCGGCGTTACTGTATTTTCTTGATGAATTCCCTTTAGTTATTATCCAACATGTTATCTTAACTGGACAAGATCTTGGAATTATCCTAATTTTTTCCTTCTATGCTACGATTGCATATCTGTAATTTTGATTTTGACGCATATAATTTAGAAGCTAGCAGAGAATGGTTCGAAGCTAGTAAATTTTTCACGTTTTGCATTTTCCACATATATGCATACTTGAGGGATCATTATGCAAAGCATAGTCACATGCATTTACAGAGTTCACCATCCTTTCCTATGAGCTAATATAATCATGATATAACAAGTTCAGTTACTGTGTATGGTCTTTCCCACTTCGATCTGAGTGAGCAAGAACTCATTTCTCTATCTACAACAAATATTTTCTTTAAGACTAAGTCCCTAATTTTGAATTCGTTTTACGAACCTTTGAATTGAAATACCTTTCCAATCTCTTCTGGTATGAGAAGCTGAATTTGAGATTCATCTCCCTTTTCGTCTAAGAGGTCTAGATTCGTATTTATAGTTTTTTCATTTTTCTCTTTGTCATATGATTTTTCTTGCCAAACTTACACTGCTTTCTATCGGTTGCATGGCTTCCATTCTATAAGGAGAAAGGGATGTCTTATTTACAGCTTTCACTTGTCCATCAGCCTGGACAAAAATATGAGGTGGAGAAATGTCTCAGAATTCTCAACTGGTCACACATTGCTTTTAACCTTTTCCCTTGAAATTGCATGTCATTATCTAAAATTATAAAATTTAGTATACTGAACCGACAAATAATGTTATTCCTTGCGAATTACAAGTATTATCCTCAGTAATATTTACGAGAGGTCCGAAATAATCTACTACCATAATCTTAAATCTCATATTGAATCTTCCTCAGTGCATTGGTCCAGCAAAGTCAATGTCCCATATGGTGAAAGGTCAAGGGCCATTGTTGGTTACAAGCTCTTGTACGGGTTGTCGTGGTATATATGCAAACTTTTGATATTGTTTACATTTTCTAGCAAAGTTCATGGCATCATTCCACAGGTTAAGCCAATAATATTCTTATTTCAAAAGACTTTTGTACTGGGAAGTGTCCACTAGCGAGGTTTCCACGTATACCCTCACGAATTTCTTTCATTACATATAAAGTCTCATCCTCAATACATCTTAGCGGAGGGAGTGTATACCCTCACTTAAATAAGATATCGCCTTGCAGTGTGTGTCTTGCGACTCTTACTCACAATTTTTGTGCTGCCTTTTTATCCTTGAGGATTGTCCCATTTTTTAGATAAGAGACAGGTTCTTGCATTCATGAAGCTTTATCCTGTATCTATAGGTTTTCTTTCTTTTTTTGGTCAATTGATGGCTTTGATAGCAATTCAACGGCCACTGGTTTAAATAATTCCACAGCATTTGAACTTGCCAGCTTTAACAAAGCATCAGTATGCTCGTTTTTCTCTCTAGAAATTGGAATGAGTTCAAATTTGTTGAAATGCTAAGATGATCTTATGGCTTTTGCGAGATAAGCAACCATCATTTTATCCTTGATTGTGAACTTTTCGTTTCCTTGATTTACTACTAACTGTGACTCTTATTTACTTCTATATTTTGAACTTGCATTTCTTTTCTCAGCTGTAGGCTTGCCAATAAGGCTTCGTATTCAGCTACATTATTGGTTTACTTTAAACGCAAATCTTAATCCATAATTCAATTTGTACCTTTTTGGGCTTGTCAAGATTATGCCTACTCCAAAACTAGTATCTCTTGATGACCCATTCACAAGTAGTTTCCACATTCCTGTTCAAGCTTTTCATCAGAAACGAGAAACATCTGACATTTTTCGCAATAAATCAGTCAACACTTGTGCTTTGATTGTGAATCATCCTTTATAGCTTATTTTGAATTGTCCCATCTCTACTACCCATTTCATTAATCTTTTGATGCATCAGGCTTTTGCAGTATTTTTTTTTTTGAGCAAAAAATTAGCTAGTATTTCGATAATGTGGCTTTAGAATTAAGATCGCAACTTTCACGTTGCTGTAACTAAGTCAAGGGCCAGCTTTTCCATATCGGATACCTAGCCTTTGCTCATTGCAAGACCTTATTTATATAGTAGATTGGTAATTGTTGTTGCCCTTCGTATTTTACGGTATGGAACTTACTACCACCTTAGAAATTGCTAAATCTAATAGTAATTTTTCTCCATTTTGGGTTTAGATAGTAGGGTTGCTTTTCCCATCTTATCTTTTACAGCCTGGAATGCCTGTTCGTATTCACTGTTCTGTTGGAATTTTTTTCCCCATTTCAACACTTAGAAAAAGGGAAACATTTATGTGTTGCTCATAATACAAACCTACTTAGGGAGTTGACCCTTCCATTTAGGCTTTGTACCCTTTTTTTATTTTTTTTTTTTTTTTATTTTTTATTTTTTGGGTTTAGATGGGAATCGCATTTTCATGAGGGACTGAATTTTATTGGGGCTCGCTTCGATACGTCGTTGATTGACTATACAACCAATGAACTTTTCGGATTAAACTCCAAAGGCGCATTGTAGTGGATTTTCACCTTCATCACGTATTTCTATATTACGTTGAAAACCTCTTCTAAGTGTTTCAAATGGTCTTTAGCGTGAAGGTTTTTCACCAACATATCATCAATGTATACTTTCATTATTTTTCCTAATTGATTTGTGAAAAATTTGTTCGCTAACCTATGGTATGTGGGCCTTGCACTTTTTAACCCAAATGGCTTACTTTATAAGAGTATAGTCTCCGATCTGTAACGAATGTAGTATATTCCTTTTTAGGTCCATACATAGAGATTTTATTATATCCTGGATATGTATTCATGAAACTTGACAGCTCGTGTCCTCTAGTTGCATCCATTAGCCGATCAATTCTAGGGAATGAAAAGCAATCTTCAGGACAAACTTTATTCAAATCCGTGAAATCTTGGCACGTTCGCTATTTACTGTTGCTCTTCGGTATTAGGATCTGTTTAAGTATCCAAATTGGATATTGAGATTCATGGATAAAGTCATATTTAATCATTTTATAACAACATTTACAATTTTTTTCAACTATAATGATTTTATCTAAATCAAAAGTACGAAATGGTATATATTACGAAACAAGAAAAGAAAAAGATATTGTTTAAGTACAATAATATAAAAAATTTATAAATAGTATAAGAGAGTAAAACGGAATTTATATATTTATTTTTAGCTGACAGAGGAATCTATTACAAATGTAAACTTCAAGGGAGGTTTTTGAAATTTTTAAAAGGTGAGAGAATGTCCATGTAATTGTCTTAAACCTGATGGAGGTTTATATAAATTGCTCTAATATTTACTTAATTGAATAACCAATCTATTTTTCTCTTTAAAACTTTCCATACAAATGTATATAAACTCTATTTATATTTACGAGAATAACTTTATTTTAGTTCGAAGATCATTTGTCAATATCCACTTCAGTTTCAATGTCTGTCCAGGTAGACACCCCCC